ACCATGTGATGATCATTGCATGACAACAAAAAGAACACAACAAATACAATAATATCCCTGATATTTTTGAATGAGTGGGTTTCCTTACGTTTTTATTTCCTTTGCAATTTGATTATAAGCATGTTTGATTTAGCCGATGAAACCGGCACTAAGTTTATAGATAATGGTGATATTAGACTGCACTGGAAAACGACAGGAATCTAGGATATATTACGATATCTAGTACAATTGCGATAGCCAATACACTTTGCACCCTGGCCGACGACAACGGCAATCAAAGGTCGGGAGCTCCAGACGACTGAGCTTTGTGGGATATGTTACTCAAGGCCCAGTGATCAAGCGGGTCTCGCCCTGCCCCGACCTTGTCACAGGCTGTACCGGTCCTCCTTCAATAATGGACCCTAGAAAGATGGGTGGGTTCAGCAACGAGAACGTACCGACCAAGACTCATTCGTCTGCTTCTACTGGTGAATGCTCAGCAAAGCAGTAAGCACAATAGGTAATGTTAAGGCCTTGGCACTTGGCAGAGACATTATGTTGTGAAATTTGAGCTGTCCGTTATGTCGAGGGCATGTTGATCTGGATTTATGCTGACTGCACTACAGACTTCAACACAGCCAGAGATGTGGGTACATGTTTTGCCATACTCTAACTGAAAATGATGCACAGCCCAGAGACTTCTTTGTCTAACTCTGGACAAGAGGGCAAAGAGCATAAGGACCAAAAGACTGAACCAGTGGTAGTTGAACACAGAGCAGACACAATCGAGCATTAGAAAATACCATTTCTGCATACAAGTAATAGTAATAGATGATAAATATCCTCCTGTTCAAAGTCATCCTTGCTCCTTAACCTAGCCTGTTTTATTGTTCATTTGTTTCATGTTTTGGCCTCTGGCCTCCCAAAGCCCCGCCAACAGTAAGGTAAGGTAAGGTAAGGTTTATGAGGGCTTACTGGCTCATTGACTGCAGTGGTTATTCTGTGGCCAATAGCCAGTTAACACACTTGGATGCTGCCACTGTGGTAGCACCCAATGTTGCATTCTCAATTGGACATGTTACTGGATGATAATGAGAATACTAGACCCAGTGACTTAAAAATCCTAAACATACTCTAGGACAAGCCTGGACCCTGTTCAAGTGTCCATGGCCGCTGCAGTTCCCGCAGTAAAAAGGCAGGGCCGGGGGCTTCAAATGAAGATTTAATTTATGAAGAAGAAACAATGAAGAATTAACTTAGCTGGCAGCCCATCACAGTAGGCGGAACTATGGTCATGAGTACCCAAATATAGGAACGTTCCCATTTTTGGGAACGGAGTTCCCAAATATGGAACGGGCGTTCCCATTTATGAGAACGGAAGGCAATTTTTCGGCCGTTCTCCCACTAAAACTCAAAAGTGCATCAAGTCTCAAAAAAGTGCACGCTGATTTAAGTATCTACTAAATCTCCGTAAAGTTATCTTTAATCTGACCGTGGAACAAGGAAATTGACCGTGGAATGATATTTTTAATGATTTTTTGAAAATGACAGAATGGTGGAAATATGGGTTATACGACATTTAGCATGCAATTTTAAGGAAAATGAAGCATTTTTTAGTTTGAGGTAAAGTATAATAATTTTCGCCTGGTTATGAACTTTCATACTATCGACACCAGATGCTGACAAATGCAAGCGAAGACGCGGACGGTCCCGAGGTAATATTGTTGACTTTTGTGTCGGGGCGGACGACCGCGTGGAACGTGAGTGAATTTACCGAGCTACTGTTGTAAACTCAGTTTAAGCGGTTGAAAATTATCCAGCTGTATTTTATCATCCCGGAAAGACATATTTTATTTGGATGCTAGCTGTTTAGAGTTGTTTTATAAGGAGCGTCATGAGCGTGGTTTTTGTCTTCCGTGTTTCTAAGCGTGATCGTTTTGGGGGAATTTCTCTTATATAGCTCGCTCTGTGTGGTTTATTTATAATTTTTATGCTGATTTCGATAATTCCTCGTGCCCATCCTACCAGGCCTTTTGCCACTTACACTCATCAAGAAAGGAAAAAACTAGATTTTCATTGGGACTAGGTGTTTTGAGGGTGTAACATATTCAGCGTTCCCATTTTTGGATACTTCCTTGTACTCGTCAACTATCGGTGATAAACAGACAGGTGCTTGACACGTCTCCACCCTCAGCGCGGACGGTGGATATAGGTATGGAAGACCTTGTTGAACATCGCTGAGCGTTGTGAATTACGTAATCCAGCAGAGGGGGGCGTGCCCGCTGCGAGATCGACGGGAATAAAAGCGCAGAAGACCGGGCGAAACATGCGACGGTCTTGCCGGAAAGGTCATCTGATGATTGTTGCGTTAATAATAATTTGCGGCGTTGGACGTGATGCTTGTTAATGAAAAGAGCCCCTGAAAGGCGTCGGTGAAATCGTTCCCAATTTTGGGTACGCCGTTCCCATAATAAGGAACGCTTGCAGCGCCAGTGTACGAGAGCGTTCCCAAATTTGGGCTCGCGGCCCGGATGATGGACTGCTTTACAAATAGGGGAACGATTCGAAACTACGATGGGCCTTACAATATCAAACTCTTTCCCAACAATATTGAGACAAATATCAGGCGGTTCACGATCGTTTTATATTTTTTGGACGTCATTTAACGGTTCTTTTTCTTGTTTTAAATAATGCCTACATGGCGTTCCCATATTTGGGTTTATCGTTCCCAAACATGGGAACGAAAATGCGTTCCCGAAAATGGGTACGCTTGACCATAGTTCCGCCTACTGATCAGGCCACAAACAGACAGCAGTTCTTGCCATCTGTGTGTCGCCTGATTGACCTCCAGCTAAGCCTCGCTTTTTTATATCAGGAGCTGCTGCGCCCGCACACACTTGAAAAGGGCCCTGTTTTGGCATAAATTGAAATGTCCAAATATCCAGTTCATTTTCAAGCGACACCTGAGTCGAGCCTGTTATTATGTAGTAGTCATTGTCAATGTCAAAGACTGCTCACAGTCCGCAGTCTACTTTTCACCCGAAATGTCTTCTAAACATATATATATATATATATATATATATATATATATATATATATATATATATATACATATAAAAGCACGTTAATTCTTAAAATTGAACTTGAAATGGAAAAATCGAGCGCAGCGGAGCAGAGCAGACTGCCTGAAGTGAAGCTTACTGGATCCGACAGAAGTTGAGGTTGAGTTAAGGCAGCACGTAACGACTAAGACGAGTAATCATTAAAGTGAAACTCACCTCGCACCGTCAGCTTGAATTACACGATTGATATTATCGCGGAAATTACAAATGCACCTATACTTTACATCCGATTTTCTTTTTTTTTTTTTTTTTTTTTTTTTTTTTTTAGTGGCCCTAACTTACGTTACTGGCCTCGCGAGGAGGGCGGCGACCTAACTACGCCGCGCAAAAGAAACCGGCCGTCCTAACTAAGACCGGTGGCCACTTTTACTGCAAGACAACATGGGAAAACCCATATCCATGTACTATGCCATGAATATGGGGAAAAACCCATGAATTTACGTTAAGATACATAAATGACAGTGAGACTTACCGTTAAATTGATGTTTGTGAGGGGAGGGAAGGAGGAAGTTTGTGAATGGTAATTGGTAGGGTTACGATGTTACGATAAAAGTTGGATGATAGGAAAGGTTTGAAGAGTGGAGGATATGTCGCTGCCGCTGTTGAGGGCCGATTGTTGTACCCGGGCCTGTGGTCGCCCAAACCCGGCCGCTGCCGCTGTTCAGCGGCCGGGTCCGTGACTGAAGAATCCTTGGCCGCTGCTCGTCGTTGTGCAGTGGGTGAAGGGACAACCCCAGAGTATGTGGACAGTTCCTTGCGATGATAGCGAGAAGGATGAAAAAAAAAACGCTTTTCGCATTCGTTCGGCGACTATATATTCTTTGTAATGCGGTATGCCTAAGGCCAAGTAATGGTGCTTACTTTACAGTTTGTCGGAATAAGGTGAGTTTAAGACAAAATCAAGTACTAGATCAGTTAGTGCTGGATCATCTCCGAGAAGAGTCGGAAGATCGTTTCTGAGGCGATATTTTGTAAGGTAGTTGTTGATATGTTTTCGTTCGTTGCGGAGGACTGTGCATCCGATTAGAATGTGTTCAACCGTAATGCGTGTGTTGCATGTTTGGCACATTGGTGGGTCCGTCCTTTCGAAAAGATGACAGTGGGTGAAACGAGTATGTCCGCATCGTAGCCTTGCCAGTGTAACCTCGCGAATCCTATTTGGCTGGTTGCAAGTTGTCCAGGATGTAAGATTTTGCTTGATCGCATATAAATGAGGAGAGTGGGTTTGATTCCATTTGTTTTGTAGGTAAGTATTAAATTTTGTTCGGAGTTTGTGGCAGACGTCCCCGATCGAGAGAGGCACCCCACTAGGGTCTGCTCTCATTGCTCCTTCCTTAGCGAGGGTGTCTGCCAGCTCATTCCCTGCGATGCCACAATGACTTGGCACCCAAAGAAAAGTTATATGCTGACTTTCGTCTAGTTCTAGTAGCATTTTGTGGATTCAAATTCTTCGGAGCGCCGCCGCCGCCAGATAATAACAATCCCGCGCAGCATTTGAAACATTCAAGGTACGAAATATCTTTTTGATCACAATCTACTTTAAAGCCACAATTTTCTGGGAATTATACCTGAAAATTTTTCAATTAAATAATTTGTCAATAAACCAAAGGAAGCATGCGAAATACATTTATTTTCTGTTTTACGTAAAACGTTTACAAAAGTACTGGGAAAAGAAACTAGTTTTCCTAGTTTTATTATTTTCTACTTCTAGATTTGTGTAAATTTGCTTTTATTTAGTGCCTCTGTGCATCTTATATGAAGTATTCACAATCACTTTTAGAAAGTTATTATTTACAATAACAAATTTGATAACTATTAGGGAGAAAATAAATCATTTTGGAAAAAAGTTTCCCCGTTTAGTTGTGTTTCTAGAATGATTAATGCGCAACAATTTGGTATAATATGAAGCGGCAGCCATTAATTTCGGCTGGGTGCTGAGTGAAGACATTCGGGGAAAATTGTATTTTTTTGGCGTGGCATCGCCACGCAAGCCTTGGTTACTACATCCCAAAGTAAATTACTCTTGGGTGGATAACTCCCCCAAGAGTTGTACTTGTATTCGCCCGTCAAGCACTGATATTAGTCAGTCATCGTTCGAAGAGCATTGCTCATCCTTTTTTATACCGATCGTCGCAAATATGGCTTGCTAAAATGAAGCTAACTCAGAGAGGAAACGACGCGCCTGCATGCGTGTGCAACGCTTCATTCTATCTTCTGTTCATTGATGCCAATAGAAGACTCAAACATGGAGAAAAAGAATGTCAGCAAAGCATCTGTGCTGACAAAATGTAATCCTGATCCGAAATCTAAGCAGAGTCTGGGTAAGGATTTTTGGGAGTTTGAGCCCTCCACAGCTAAACCGATTCCTCAATGTGCATGCATGATTCCAGATAAATGTGAAATGTGAGGTGTCACTTTACAGCTTAGGTTTTAGCAGAGCAAGCAATTATTTGGAGTTTGAGTTTGGGTATATACCACTTTTCACAAAACTGCCCTTAGAAGCTGAGGCATTATATGCCAAGCATCAACCTTATCAGTTTGAGATAAGATATGACTAAAAACTGCATAATATTCTTTGGTTAGTCTTCTGTAAGTTGTTTGCTACCTTTATTTTCTAAAAAAGAAGTAGCTCAATAGAATTCACCAGGAAAATTGACTCTGAACACCCAATGTTTAGACTTTCCCAATAATTTGAGGCTATTTGACCTAGTCTTAGTCATGACCTTAGCCCTGCCTAAGTCTAATATATTTTTGGTCTGAATCACCAATGTGTAGCTCACCATTGATTTCTGATGTTGAATTGATCATCGCAAAGTTTGTTATTCCTTCTATCCTATTCAGCAGGCAGGCAGTGTGTGATGATGTTGGTTGGTCTGGGATGACCTTGACATTTACCTGCACGGACCTTGACCTTGAGATTCCAGATCTATCATATTTTGTGTTGCTGGTCTATAAATATGTTTGGGCTGAACTTTGGCAAATAGTTTTTTGCAAAGGCTTATAATGCTCAAACTTGTAATTTTGATCTTTGACCTGATTGCTGACATGAACTTTATCTCTGGCATAATTGGCATTTTGGTGGTGAAGAATTAACTTAAAAGAACTTTGCATCTTCTGTTTTTAACATTTTTCTATACCGGCCTATCTGTCTGCTGGAAAGCTTTATTCTAACCTGGTATTCTCACCTGGTAGGGTTCTCAGAGGAGGAGAGTATTTAGGGATTCCTGAAATCAACTTCAAATTTCCTATTTTAGTACTACACTTGATCATTTAGGAGAACGGTTTCAAGGTATGAGTTCTGTCCTCCCTAATTAACTTTAGATTCTTAAACCACATAGCTGATTACCTATTTGTATTGGTAGTGCAATCAGTATTCAGTAGGTACATGTTTGCTAATTTTGTCACCCCAGGCCAGATGACCCCTGGGGTGACAAACCTGAACATCCACATGATGATCACCTGTCCCGCTGTGCCGGCAGAATACAATGGCAATGGTCGAGGCGGCGGCTGTCGAGGCGGTCGGCGTCCGGCGGGTTTCGGAGGAGGAGCGGCGGGCGGCGCGGCGGTCGGACGGAGGCCGCAGCCGCAGCGCTCCCGACAGGTGGCCGACAAGCGGCCGCGGGAGCGCGCCCAGCCCGCTGCGGGCGCTGAATACGGTCATCGAGAACAGGTGCGGCACGCTCTTATTATTATTCCAGTAATGCGATATAGTGCTCCTGTTTACCCCCTATATGGTCTAGTGGATAAGGCGTCCATCTAATAAATCGGTCGCAGTGAGTTGCGGCCGGAGCGCTCCACGCCGTTGGTCCGCGCTTCCTTAACGATTCAGCCAGCTGGTAACTGGCGAGAGAATGTCACGCTAGGCCCGGGAGGACCGTGTCGTCATCTACCTGCGATACGTTTCACTTTCAAATAAATTATTCCGGTGAACCAATCTCGGGCAAGGTCGGGTGTGGGACGTGGGTCCGTGGTGTCATTCGCATTAAGTACCGCGTAGCATGGCACCAGGTCCTGAAGTCAACCATTCATTCAGACAAAATATCTATAAAAATCAGTAAATGGTTGATTTTGGCTTAGTCGTCCAAGTCTCTCCCCTCCCACTCCCTGCTACCTAGTTAGCTACCGATGTTTACGTCTAACGCTTGGTTTCGTCTGTGTGTTCAGGTAGCTGACGCCCGGGAGTCCAATTCTGCGATCAACCGAGGCAGCAAGAAAGGCTTCCAGGACGTCAGCTACTTGGTCAACTTCCGTTGTGAGTCTGCGCGCGACGCGCACGCGGAGCGGTACTCCGGCTCCCAGTGGCACCAGCAGCGCTACGGGGGCTACCAGCACCACGAGCCGCGCCCGCAATGGGCCGCCAGCCGCGTGTTCCGACCCAAACACGTCAAGGAACAGTACCTGCAGGCCAGGTGAGACGGGAGAGGAAGAGCTCGGGAGAGGAGAGACTGGAGGCGTAGTGTGGTGTTGTCGCTGTTGTTGGAAGGTGTTTAGTAGATATGCTGATTTATTATCGTTTTTCAGTGTTTTTTTTTCAGAATGGTTATTATAGTAGAATGTTCCTGGTTATGAAAGAATGAAAATCCGAATAGAATGATGATTCGGTCATAAGACTTTCCAAGGCTACTGAAAGATAGGACAGCGCGGCTCTTCTCTGATCGAACATCCACGATTCACATCGCAGTAAATAATATCACCACAAACATTTCTCGGCTAGACTTGACCTTGTACTAGTCTTACGTAAAAAAAAACGCTCGCGCAGCACCGACTATCGATCGATAACGTGATAGTGTCAATTGCCGCTTTCGAACAATGAACTGAACAGTGAGGTCGTCAGCAGTTTCTTCTAAAAGCGCACACACATTCCTTCATGTTGAAAGGGCTCATCGCATTAACCCGCGCACCGACGGGGGTCTGCGCCAACTTCGCACCGACGGGGGGGGGGCGGATGACCGCCCCCCCCCCTGAGATCTCGAGAACGAAGCAAGATAGCGACAAGCGGTAAACGGCATCGGATACGCACGGCCAAGATCTACAATTTTTACTAAGGTCATTTTCAGGTCAGGTCAAAGATGACGTCACAGGGGTCGAAAAAGTCAAAATGGCGGCGCTAGATATGGAGAGAGTTTTTCTCGAATAACTTTCGAATTAGTCAAGATAGGAACAAACTAAGGGCATCATCGTATCGTGATCCTCTCGTCAATCCGCATCGAATGATATATATGTTGACCTCGAAAGGTCAAGGTCAAAGGTTGACCTCAGGTCACGTGACCTCGAGGTCATCGTGTATGTCATTCGATGCGTCTTGACGAGCTGAACACAATGAGACCATCCACGCGTCTGTATCTTGTTCCTGTACGGAGTTATTGGCCAAAAACCTTTGGTGACCTTTGATGACGTCACATGACCTCACAGCTGCCCAACAGCAAAACAGACCTCAAGGTAGTGAAGGTTGATCGTTTATGAAGTCATGTATGGTATATGGGGCCATTCCGACCCGTTTTAGTGGTAAAAACAGGGAGTTGATTAATGATTTTTCCCCCATTGACTTAAAGGGACTGTCCCACCTTCAAAAAATTGCTTTGATATACTGTTCTTGTGTTGCAAGACATAGATTAGGGGCCCCTGTACACGAAATTGGCAAACATTCGGCCCATAGTTGGCTAATTGTTTAAAAATTCCAATTTAAAGCTTTTGGATCGATTACGTCATATGATTGTTTTTTTATCGGGCAAAGTTTTTGGTAAGTGGGGGCCGTTCAAGGTCAGTGGGGGCTCGGCTGCGGCTATGGAACGTGATTGGCCGGACGACGTAGAATCTTCGTCGTCTGAGAGACATCGAACGCGGGGTTAGATTTTAGTAACATGCAAAGTAACACAAACATGTTCAATGTTCATGGAAAGGATTGAAATGAAAATTGGAAAATTGAAGCTTGAACTTTGTCAAGAAGAAGGTCGCAAACTGCAAAGAATATCAACAAGGCCTTACTTATCATTTTTAAAAGATTATAGAATGCTCCCTAATAAGCAAAAGCAAGATATTGATTGCCCACAATGTCTTGGGCACATGGATGATGGAAGTGAGCTCAACTTCAATAATCAGACCTAAGAATCACAATGGATATAGCCATGAGCCAGACTGCAAAGTATGGCAATTTTGTCCAGATGTTGTCAGTGCAGACTCCTTCGTCTGGTGCGGATTTAAGTGTGGTGCGGTGTGGATTTGGTTTGGTGTGGTGCAGATTTAGTGTAGCGGGGTGCGAAGTGTTCTCTCAGCCCCCTTTGGTGTGAATTTTCTGGCTCAGTTTGCAGGGTTTGTGTAAATTTTGAACTTAGGCCAGTGCTCCTTGGCGACCTGCGAGCCATACTCTGCAGTACTGGCCTGGGCCCATGAGCAAAGTAATATAATATAGTCTGTTCAAGATTCAATATAATAAGTCTGCAAAACACATTCCAGCAATTGTAATTGAAGCAGAATGAATTGTAGTGACCTGCATTTGTATTTTTGTTGTGTCTGTGAAAAATAATAAATATACCTACTTATTGGAAAAATCGTGGCCTTTCAGCACATTTGGCAGAGTTGTGTGACTCTGATGTAGTGGCTCATGTGGAACGCAACGAGCTGCGGAACAAGCTTGAATAGCATTTTGCCTCAGGGCTATCTGCCAGAAACATTTCATCTGCATGAATTTATCTACAGGCAAGTCTGACAAATTTGTGGATTAACTGGGGACCTTGTAAGCCTGCATATTAAATTCTAGCCTACCAGCTCAGCCCTATCCTCAGTTTCAGCATTCAGCATGATAACAGTTCTGATCAAGTTCTGATTGTCACCACTGAGACACCAATGGAGTCCTCTGAAATTTTGCCTTTTAATTAAATTATTTGTAAGAGTTTCAAGCTATATTTAGACCAAACATTTCACTCTCAAAGATCTGCGACCTACCCCACTCGTCCAGTAGGATGCCTGGCGCGCAAACAGTCCAGCAGTGAGCTGCCAGCCGGCACGCAGGGCAGCAGCAGGCAGCAGCAGCAACGGCAACTGGTGAACACGTCTTGGACTGCAGCCACGACATAATCTAGGCTAGCGTCTATTCAATTTGTCCATGTACAAGTCCCACAGCTCCTGCCCGAGGTGCCAGAGGTTGCGCAAGTCAGGGAACTGACCACCTCCAGCCCAGGCGTGGTTCACTGACTCAAGATATTTCAACTGACCAGTCAGAGTTCATGTTTTGCAACTTTTATCCAAGTTATTTGTAATTGTAATATTCTAAACTGAATTTTAGGCATGACTTCATTTTTCAAGAGCTACAAAGAACACACCTTCCCTTTGCAGCACGTCTATTGTCCTAACATTAGTCACATAGTTGCAAGAAGCGACTTGAATGCGGAACCTGCCTGTTTTGAAGCCCTGTTGTCTGTTGGGTGACACTGCACAGAGGTAAGGATGGGGTGTGATTTTGCTGCTGTTTGTCAGGTTCAATATGTGTGTCAATGATCACAAAGTACTCTAAAGGTTTAAAAAATGCACAGCATGGCCTAACAAAGCACATTACCTAGGTTTTGACAAGCAGCACAGCGACTGTGGTACAAAGGATTCACGACCGCGATTCACTCGGATGGATGCCTCCGAAAGCTATGGCCGATGTTAAAACCATGGTAACTGCGCAGAAAATAATAAGCAACGGCGAGCCCGAAGCACTAGCTGCCATCTTCATGAATAACAGTGACGCGCGAGAGAGGTCCACTCGACAGGACCACCTTTTCCACCTTCCACGCTCGCGGCTCGAGACTGGCAAGCGACGATTCGGCTACCGGGCCGCGGCGCTACTAAACAGTCTGCCTCCCGGTGTCATCGAACAGCGCCCCGCCCCATTCGCCCGTGCGGCCAAGGCTGCAGTCTGTCCGGCGATGGCGACCGCCCGACGATGACCCGTGTCAGAGGAAGGAGGTGCGACATCCGTGTGCGGTGTGCTGTCTTGAATCGTCCGTTTGTATATAGAGAGAGCGAATGTCCAGCGATTGAATCTGTATGCCTGTGTTTCTTGTCCCCGCATGTTTTTGTTTGTGCCCGACTCAGACTCTGGACTGTAATCGCCACGCCCCGCGTGGATTGTCCATGAAGGTAATACAATACAATACAATACAAGGCCCAGTCCTGGTCCCATGCTCATGTTAGTAGCTGGATCTGCTCCCAGGAAACAAAGGTAAAACACTATTGACAGCTTTAAGATGAAATCTGCAGGAAAACTAAGCCATCTATAAAATCTAACATAAGCTTAAAAGCGCAACAGAGCATTTCTGATTCAACGTGCAGCACTTCCGCTTTCATCCGCCATCAGCAACTCAGTTCAAAGAATGATGCATTACATCACTAAAATTTATTTCAAAATACCTCTGCATGGTGTTTACACAAACAACAGTTCTTTACTAGACATGGTCGACCTCAGGCCACCCACACTTCAGCAAACAGGGTATTATCAATGTTTAACGGCTCAAGGTTAGTCGTCTTGGATGTTCAGAAATAAAAAGGTGAACATTCATTGTCTCTTCCTTATTTGTCACCATCAATAGATTGTGGACTCCTCAGAGCATGTCTTGATTATGGAGTTGAAACAGCAGTGAGCAAATCATTTATGATTTTGATACTATGATTAATTTCAGTGAGTTGCACACTTGAACTTGACACCTGCCATTGATAAGTTCATGGCTCTTGCATTCTTCAGTCACATGTAGGACGGCCTCTTAAATATTTAAATACAAAAATAAAAATACTGCTAGAATTAGAAGACTATTAGAATTATTTTGGCATATCAATTTAATTCTCCACCTCGTGGCGCCGCGGGCGCTGTTCCAAGAGGCGTTGTTATTTTTCAAGGTTTCAATAAAAAACAAGTCGACAGATACAGAAACTTCGGAGGGGTGTTCACGGGCACCGCACACTGCTGCGTGCGGTGTGTGCGGTACGTCCAGCAGGCGTGGGGGTAGGGGATGGGTAGGCGGCTCTGACGTCACGGCTGCGTGCGGTGGACGGTCCGCTGTGGCCAGTCCCGACCGGCCACAGCGGTCGCTGTGTGCGGTGACGCAAGGCTGACGTAGGGACGCAGTGGGCGGAGCTTGGAGGCTGTGTGCGGTCCGACCGCACACAGGGTCCGTGAACAGCCCTCTGAAAAGGCGGAAACGTCACAGGTTTTAAGTGCCAATACCAATACATTGTGGCACTTATTTGCACAGATGTCAAAATCAAACACGAATTTATTTGCGATGAAGTAATTGCTGGAGAAACGGTTTTCACGACTCTGATTTTCAAAGAACGCCCATCAAGATGGCTATCTCAACTCAATTCTAATGTTAAGGTGGGACAGTCCCTTTAATGGGGAGGTCGCGAAATTGACCTGACCTTAGGTCACCGATATCAAAATTCCGAGATATACAAATTGTAGCTACTAATGACCTAATAATATCCTGCGACTTTCAAATGCCTCCGACATCTACTGTAGCTCTGGCACGGTGACAAAGTTGCAAAAAAGTGACTTGAGGTTGGGTCATTCAAAGTGACCTGGTGACCTGACCTTAAAAGGTAGGAGGTTCAAACTTGCACATCATGTGTAAAATTGATGAGGTTATAGTCATACCAAATTTCGCGGCGCTACGCGCCGCGGTTTTCCCGCTATTCGCGAAAAACCTCAGGGGAGGGGGCGGATATCCGCCCCCCCCGTCGGTGCGCGGGTTAAGAAATTAGTTTGTACTTGGCATCGACACGCAACAACGTGGTTGATATTTCTTAGTAACTGGTGTGGCCGATATACCGATATCCCTCCAACTACCATCAGAGAATTAGTCTAACCACGCTGTCCGTCTCAAGGTGGCGGCCATTAGTAGGCCCTGCCCGGTCTCAGCTGCGCCATTGTCTGGCTCGTATTTACGTCTGGTCACGTCGGTGTCTTACCAACGCTAGTTGTCAGTCGGTGGTATCTTCCTTGCCCTAGTGTTTGACCGGTCTATGTCGTCCTCGGTCCAGGTGTCAGCTGGTGGTGCGCGACGACGGCGACTACGCGGCCTGTTTGGGTGACGCTGACCGGCTGGTCGACTGGACAATCGTCGAGCAGGTCTGGCTGCAGGAGGACGAGCCGACCACGTGTCCGATCTGTCTGTACCCGCCGGTGGCGGCGCGCGTCACCCGCTGCGGCCACACCTACTGCTGTGCCTGCCTCCTGCACTACCTGGCGCTCAGCGACCAGGCCGCCCGCAAGTGTCCCATCTGCGAGGAGACGGTGCACCCGGACCAGGTGCGCCGGTGCCGGCTGGTGCCGCGCCCGCCGGCCCGGCTCGGAGACACGGTGGCGTTCCGGCTGATGCGTCGCCAGCCCGGCTCGCTGCTCGGCCAGCCGGTACAGGACGGAGAGCCCTGGGAGGAGCTGGTCACGCTCGGAGACGACGAGGAGCGACAGAGACTGGCCAGAATCATACTGGCCACGCCCAAACAGGTACCAAACACCGAGAAATACTTCTGGCCTTGAATGTCGTCAGGCAAACGTTGTTTAGAGAAAACTGTGCCATTGTTTTGACGTATTCTCGAATTTTCTTAACTTTGCGCTTTTCAAATTTCAACTTGATATTTTAGTCGGCTTAATGTTTTCAATGCACCTGGTTACCGTTAGAGTCCAATGCTCGCCAGAGCTAATATTCTGTGCCTTTTTCCCGTCAGGTGGCGTCTGAGATCCTGGCGCCGGAGCGGGCGGCGCTGGAGCTGCAGCTGGCGGAGCTGGCCGACGAGCCGGAGGCGTGCTTCGTGCAGCAGGCTCTCACTCAGCTGGAGGAGCAGGAGGCGGCCGTGGCTGAGCGCGCGCTGGCCGCGCTGGCCAAGCCGCAGCGGCCCGACCCGGCCACGGCGGCCGAGCAGGCCACGCCGCTGCCGACGGCCGCCGCCGACAGCGCCATCGTCTACCGCTCGGCCTTCGACGAGCAGACGGTGGAGCAGGCGGCCGAGGAGGCGGCGGCCGAGCTGGCCACCGGCGCCCGGCAGCGCTCCCTCAGCGAGACCTCCTGCACCGAGATCACCGCCGCCGACCTGGAGGTGCCGGCGGCCGCGCCCGGGCCGGCGGCCGCGCCGCGACGCGACGACCACGAGCAGCCGCTCTACTACTACCAGGCGGAGGGCGGCGAGCACGTGTACCTGCACGCGCTCAACTGCCGCATGCTGCTGCAGGAGCACGGCGCCTGGGAGCGCTGCCCGCGCCGCCTGGCCGCCCAGCTGATCGACGTGGACGCGGTGACGATGACAGCGCCGCTGCGCCAGCGCCTCCGCTCCCTGCGCCACCTGCCGCTGGCCACTCCCCTGCAGGTGGTCGAGGTGCGACTCCGACCGCCGGACGTCTCCACAGAAACGGTGGCGCTCTTCAAAGGTGGGTGAAGGTGTTGGCGTGATGGCAGATGTAGATGATAGTGAAGTGCGTGCCCTGTCTGCAGCGGCAGACAGCCGTTCTATGTTTGGCTTCATCCGTCAAGAACGGTCAGTATCAAGGAGGTAGAACGTTAGTTGTGACTTAGTTCGCTAGTTTTGTATCAGAGCCTCTCAAATCGCTGATTATCCAGAAGGTCGGGTGAGCCTGTTCACATGAACATCAAGCACGTTTGAGCGCGCTGATTCCAAAGCGTTGAGTCCATGCAGCCAGCACTTTCGCTGCATGATAATTATCCTTTGGAACAGCACATTGGTCTGAGCCAGGTGTCAGGTGGCATTGGGTAACCTACAATGCCACTAATTTGGCTCATCCACAATTCATAGGTTTGTATCCACTGATTTGATCCCTCGTCACGAGAAAGTACGGGCTGGCTCAGCTGAATTGAGGCCACGTCACACGCTATGCGCCATCTTTCAGTTTTCTTTCATCTAGTTCGAAGCAAATATCAATAACCCGACGACCAATACTAACCATTGACCATAAATTCGCCCCACAGATCAGATCAAAAAGCGTGAGCAGCGTCGGAAGGACAAGCAGCGCCGTGAGCGGCAGCACGAGCGGCGCCTCCGCCAGCAGGGGAGTCGCCGCGCGCCTCCCATCGAGGCTGTGTACGACGCGGCGTTCCCGTCTACCGCTGCCGAGCTGCCGCCGCGGCCGCCCACCCCGCCGCTGCTCCAGTCGGCCGTCACCCCGCTACAGTCGCCGACCGAGGCCGCCCAGCTGGGCTCGTCTCCGTCCTTCGCGCAGCTGCTGCGGGCGGCCGGTGCCGGCGGCGGGCCGGCGGTGGCCTGGCCGAGCGCGGTCCGCCCGCCGCCGGCCCCCGCTCCGGCTCCGGCCGCGGCCCGGGAGGATGAGCCGAATGCTGTGCCGAGCTACAGCGACAGCTGGTCGGCTGACCTGGCCGCCGCCCTGGAGCGGGCCACGCAGGACCGCGCCGCCGCCAACGGTTAGTGGGGTGGACAAGTGGTTACACGGGCTTTTTGCAGGTGCTTTCGACCGACTACGCTTAGTTACAAAAAAAAAAAATGTTTCCATTCGACACTGGCCGCATATGAATACGACATGCCTTTTACTCTTTCTAGCCGGTCTTTCTGCACCCGTTTTGTTTGTTTTGACCCTGACCTCATGATCTTCGCCTCTGACAGTTCTGTCCTTTCCAGCCGGCTCCGACGCCGCCGGCGCCGAGGGCCGCTCGACCAAGGGCAAGAAGGGTAAGAAGGGCCGAGGCACGGTGCTGCTCTCTGGAGGCCTAACCTTCTGAAGGAGCTCGGATGCCTCCCTGGGTCTCACCACCGACCGGGCGAAGAGATATACCCAGCCGCTGACCGTCTAACGGCCCAGTCTCTGTTCTGTTAAACTCACCCAGCCGGTTGCAGGAGCCACTCGCTGCCCGTTATCCCGGCTAGTTTGGTTGCTGCGACTGGCTGTGGCCGCTGTCTGGTTTAGTCACGCTGTCTGGCAGTGCCCGGCCCGCCCGATGTCTGGTTTGGTTTGCTAACAGTGACAGGCCGGTGTCTGGTTTGGTTTCGCCGGCCCGCCCCAGCTGACGCCGAGCAGGTGCCGTGTGTGAGGGGCGCGGCCGGCGGCTGGTCAATAATACACGGTACCCAGCAGTCTTACCGGACTGTGTATGTGGAAATGGTGTGGTGAATACTAGTTTGAACGGAGTCTGGAATGATTTACAGAGTGTAGGTGCGCCTGGGTCTGGGAATAACAGGAAAAGTACCAAGCAGTTGCAGAAGAATGTAAGGGGCTTACGTTCCAGATCCAGAGTCTTCGTTGTGAGGTGCGTAAAAATTAGCGTTTTTGATGTCTGATGCTTTGCTACCGTTATTAAAGATGTGCTAACAATATGTGCGCATGGATTTGGACAAGATAAGTTGCCTGCATCACCTGCATTTCATCACTCATCCTCATTATGGGGCTGGCAGGCTTCCGCCTTGGCCAAAATAAATTCAAACGATGACCTTTTATGAAGGAATGCCATATACGTGTGGAATGGGTTGCATCATGCATGAATATGAATTATGAACTGGAGATGGGGAAAATCATATAGTAATATAATTGCGTGTGCATCCAAGATCGAGGGTCCCAGGAACGTGTGCATCCGTGCTTTTGGCTGACTGATAATTTATGCGTACACCGTGCACTTATTTTTGCTTCGTAAAGGAATATAGTAGCATATGGCAGCTCAAAAGGGGTGTGTATGCGCCGCAGCTGATACGAAAGCGCTATCACCTTGTTGGTTTTGTTTTGCATCTCAATCTGTGGTTGTGGTGGAGTGGTGGATGCTGAATCACAAGGCAGTCCCTTCTATTGTTTTTCCGGTTTGTGTGCACTTCTTTCATTTTATTTTGCTTGATTTACACAATAACTTATCTGCACATTGTCAGAATCTTAGATCCAGTGCGCTGTGCAGTTACACTTCATGCTGCTGCTGGCTTTTAAAGCTCAAGCGCTTTCAATTTGGCTTCTTTTGCATAAATTGAAATGTATTAAAATTGTGGTTTTCTTTTTCCATACCTAGGGCGTTAGTAGAACAAAAATGTGTGGGATTTATTACTCCAAACACTTGCATTTTTGCATCGATAAAATTGTATGTAAAGAAGCTTATTTTGACTTCCCAAAGAAGGGATGACAGTGAAAACGGCGCCTGGGGCGATTTGCTCAAGGCTCTTGAAATTCACCCTCATAAACCATGTGACATCCAGCATGTAGAAGGCATTGAGAGGGGGAGTAGTTCTTAATAGACACGTGGCTCAATATGCCCTCGCTCAATATGGCTCGTTTTCATTGGCGTCCCAAAGAAGCAGCTGTCTTTCACAATCCTCAATCACATGGCATTGACAAAGTTGAAGTTGTACATACTCGGCCAGACTGCTGTTGGTTATCCAGTTTTTTTTTTACTTATTTACTTATCTGTCCAGACTCCAGTGCTGCATGATAGTGGTCAGCGAATATCAGTAAATACCCACCATGCCTGCCTATAGTGTAAACTGGAATTTAAATTTGAAGTTATAGGGTACTGGTACCCATACATTGCTAATAAAAAGGGAAGTCTCCTTTGTGTTTTTCAGTTCATTTGTCAAATATCTGAATGGTTCTTGAAGCTTCCTTTGATCTTGGAAATGAATTGTGTTGTTATGCTCAACTGAATGTTAGGACTTTCTTCTTGAAGAAGTGAGCTAAATTTTGGCAATAGCATGGCTGAGTCAAATATATCCTGTTTTTGTTTTATTTTTATGGCTATTCCAAAATAAAATGGCCACAAAAATATGCTCTCTGCTAAGTGCTAGCTGATGCTGGATATGTTACATGTTCACCCATCTTACTCTCACAGGTCTCATCCACATTGCACATCATTTAAAATCTGAAGTCATCAGCTGCAGTCTGTTGTTGCTGTGATCTCTGCTGAGGTCACCTCTCTGAGCCGGCGCACCATGGAGCAGGCTGACGGCGCCCCCGCCCCCGCGGCCGCTCCGGCGGCGCCCGTCTGGCCGTGTGCGCCGCGCCGGGGTCCTCCGAGGCCGCAGGGCGCACCGGCCGCCGGTGCCGGCCGCGGCTCCGGCGCCGGCTACGTGATGCCGGCCAGCGATGTGCGGCTGGACGACCCCGGCTCTGCTCCCGACTTCAGCGAACAGTGGTCGGCCGACCTGGCCGCCGCCATGCAGAAGGCGAACGAGAACCGCGCCGCCGCCGCGGCAGCAGGTCAGTGTAACCGGGGAACACAGTGGCTGCTGGAAATGCAGATAATAAGGAGCAGTAGTCTCTTCATTCGTGGTAGAAAACTGACGTTTTCGCTCATTTTCGGCTGACGTTCGCTCATTTTCCGATGATTTCACCGTCCTGCGCTTAATTAACCATTGATATGTTTATTGTTAACGTTCGTTAATATCTTCATTTTCAAGTTTCTATTATTTTGATTTGACCATCTGATCGTTTTGACCATAGCACATATCCCGTTTTCCCTTCAGGCGGCGGATCTGAAACCAAACCAAAGGGCAAGAAGGGCCGAAAGGGCAAGTCTATTCTTATCTCTGGCGGCCTGAGCTTCTGAAGCAGAGGTCGCCACCTGTACGGCTGTGGCCGGCTGACTGGTGACGCCAGCTCGCGGCCAGTTCCCGCCGCCCCCGCCGCTAATGTTGCTGCTGTGATACGCCAAAGCTGAACTTGGCCTCGCTGTACGATCTGATGTACGGCGCTAGAATTCTCAGTACAACGTGATGCTTGGTATGACTATATTGATGATCTTTTTTGCACAATATACGACCATCAAACTTGATACGATTTACTTGAGGAAGGAGCGGTCTACACTTCCCAGTTGCCAGTAGCGGGGTTTGAAACTGTAGGTGAAACCTACCCATCTATGCGCCAACAGGAAGTTATAATGGGATTGTTGATGTTATTGGATAGTGGATACTGATAGCGAAAGAAGTCAGAAGAAGGAGCAAGGAGCAAAGAACGGAGAAGAGCCCCTCGACTTCATCAAGGGGGGCTAGGTCTAAATTTTTACTCCAGAAGATCACATTGATGGGGGAAGAGGCGCTAAAAGTTTCGCAACCCTATCTCTGAGCATGCTGGAGCTATTGCAAAATGTGTCGCACGACTTACCAGTGCTGCCAGGTGACACTAATGCTGTACGCCTGAAGGTACGCTGTGCCGCCCGGCTCGCACTTTTTTCCGCTACTTTTCCCACTAGATCACACCGGTCATAGATATAAAAAAGACACCGGTGCACTAGTGCAGTACCCCTGGAGGTATCCTGTGCCGCACGACTCCCGATTCTCTCGCTAGATGACACTAGTGCAGTACGCCTGAAGCTATGCTGTGCCGCACGACTCCGGCTTCTCTCGCTAGATGACACTAGTGTAGTACGCCTGAAGCTATGCTGTGCCGCACGACTCGCTTTCCAGCCGCTAGATGACACTAGTGCAGCACGCCGGAAGGTATGCTGTGCCGCACGGCTCTAAATCCAGCCGCCAGATGACACTAGTGCAATACGCCTGAAACCATGCTGTACCGCACGGCTCGCACTTCGGCCGCTTGAGTTTTGTAACTTCCCTTATCTAATTATCTATCTCTCCTTTTCAGATGCATAACTGTATGCCTCCTAAGTGGGTGCATCTATTTAAAATTGAGGTTTACGTTAATGTGAAGCGCAAAGAAATCAACTCAAGGCACACTTGCAAGTAAAATTCAAAGAGCTGCCACATCACTGTCAATGAATTTAATTGCTTTCAACTCACATTCTCTCGACTTCGGGAAGAGCCTCGCTTTTTGGTTCTTTTTACTGTATTTGAACGACATGTTATTTCTGTGATGTTTTCGGAAGTTCAAATTGCTTAAAAGTAGTTATAAAAGCAACGTCTTTCACTGATGAAGCCAAACAGAGATAACCCGCGCTCATAAACAATAGCACTCATATTCATATTTTTGACTGGTTTTGGACACTTGTTTATGATCGGAAACGGCAGTCGTTCTTTGATTAAAAAGGGAAATGAAAATATCAACCATAAGCTTCGGAATTTTCTAGGGGTTTGCCGTACTCGACTGACGGCTGAATATATTAACATTTAACAATCAACGGGGAGACAGCCAAAAATTCTCGCACTTTGTGGTTGAAGAGAACTGTTATCATTCCCCACGAGCCGCTGGGGGGGGGGGGCATAAAGTTGCCCCCCCCCCTTTACGTTTTGTGGAATATCTCCGAAACCTGATGAGCTACGAACGTGAAACTTGGCATAGCTTCAAATGAATACCTAGGCAATGTTTGAAGAAAGTTTGGTGGTTGTAGCTTGTAAGGTGACGTCACAGTGACATCATAAAGTTTTGTCGTTTTCCGATATGGACCGTTTCTGATGACGCTGAGCATGAAACTCAACTGTAAATGAACTAGACAGCACCTGCTGTCATCCTAAAACGTCTAAGTACACTTCCATCTAGTTCCTAACCAATAATCGGCCCTTTATATTCGGTCCCATATACCTGATGTATCGTGAGGAAACTGAGAGTCGCAAATCTATAATTTGACTTATGACGTCACTGTGACGTCATTTCAAATGGGATCGACACCAAATTTGGACACAAACTCGGCTAGGTATTCAGGAAGATGTGTGCAAAGTTTCGCTTCTCTATCTCTTCGCGTTGCGACGATATCGCCGCGGAAGTAAAGGGGGGGGGCAACTATATGCCCCCCCCCCCCAGCGGCCGGCGGGTGGCGCGGAGGCCCAGCGGCCGCCGGGTTAAAACAATGTCATTAAAACGACTACTCTAATTTCCTCAGAAAATATTTATCCAGATTCGTGGTCATATATCCCCTCCTGGTAAATTTATTTCCCTGTTGTTCCCCCTAGTCCACGCGCCGCTATTTGCCTAATCAGCCTCTGTCCGTGGCGGCTGTTTTGGAGCACGGTCCGTGGCACATCTCTGTGGCGCGCACGGTCCTGCTTCCTGCCTGGCGGGGCTCGATTCTCCCTCCGTGCGTGTGCGTGCACGGTCGGCAGCGTTTGACACACACACGCGTCCACACGGCCATTTTCTCACGCACGCGAGCACGCACACCACTGTGCTGTTGAGCGCAGTGTCGTTCTGCAGTGTGCTATAGGGTACCATTTGTCTCTCCCCGGGTGCTGTGGGATGATCGGGACATTTTCCGAGCTCACACATGGGATGATGATTAAAACACGCTCCATTGCAGCATTTTTCTAGCCTGGACTTGTAACTTGGAACCGGGACAAATGAATAGTTAATTCTGCTGAAATAACTACTTTATATAGCTATGGGCGGTATGCCATTGCATTTTATTTGCCTTGCCTAATCGCATGCTTGAGCTACAGCCTATTTTATCTTCTTTTTTTTACTTTTGTGACTAGCTGTGAATGGAAAGTCCGCTATTGAAAATTCCGACTTATGCTTTTTTGTTAAAAGATAAAACTAGTTATTCTGTCCGCTTTTCTGAGTCATACGAATCTGCGCGTAGGCGTCAGACAATTTCTGCAAGCACCTTAGCACACTTCCTGAATCTATTTTAGTTTTTATTTGCATGATGTAGCTCGGAATTTTCTTAACGCCCTAAAACGACGCTACCTCAAAATATTTGCTCGTTTCAGTTCTTGGCAAGTGGCAACATTTCGTCGCCAGTTTATTTTCGCACTGACAGTCGTTTGCATCACAGTTTTCCTTTTGTTTGATGTCTGTTTCGGACAAACGAGGCGTTCCTCGGCGCAAATACACGACACGCTTGGCGCTACAAACACGGACGCTATTCCTCGGAGCCGCGCGCGCCTAGCGGACACGGGACACATTGAAAGGCACCGGAGCGCGACGTCGTCCCGGCGCGGCGGCCAGCGGCCAGCGGCACTCTGAGAGCAGCACCGGCACTTGCTTACCATCCCCGCTGAATGTTTATTCCAGTGAAAACAGCGGCACCCTGTGACACTGCACGGCTGGGGCAGCTGGTCGGGCTGCCGGACGGTGGAGGCGCTGGGGAGGAGGTGTTACATCCTACTCATCCGGTGACTTTGTGAAGTGGTGAAGCAAGATTGCTTGTTAGCGCTCGAATGATATCTATACTCGGCAGAAAATGGCTGCTTTGAGAAAGATCGTCGCTTTGAATTTCGATACATTACGGGAAAATGGCATTTGAAGTTCAGTACTTGAAGTAGAAGAATTTAACTGGTTTCAGTTTGATACCAATCTTCATAGGAAACCAATAAAAGCTGCCGATTCAATTGTGGTCGAGTTGGCACGATAAAGGGCGCCATAAAGCGACAAATGTGCGGTGCTTCCAGAGACGAGCCGAAACTCTCGAAACGAGCCCGGGACCTTTTATTTCAGTTGACCAGCCTAGACCACAGTACCAGCGCCAAATGACCTGCTCTTCGCAACAACATCTCATGAAAGCCCTTCAAATGACGCTCGAGTCTATTGGACACAACACCACACGACAACGTTCAACGTAGCCATCTGATCTCTCTGAATGTTGGCTTTTGATATCACAATCTACTACTAAACGGCCCTGTCCATGGTGATTATCGAAGTGCTCCAGCACACAGAGTGGAAGCCTGTGAGCCGTGACCGGTCAATTTACACCCGACCCCTGCCGTGTGATACAAGGGCGATAGAATGACACCATTAGCTTGGCAGGGGAACGGCGCTGGAAGCCAAGAGGCTCATTGAAATGCACATGTCTGAGAGCGCGGTGGGCAACGCTTTGAGCGGCTGTTATCTGGGGGAAGGCTGATAGGGCTGAGGTTAGGCTCTAACCATAATAATGATCGCTTTGGCCAGCGGGATGGAAACGGGAAGGCGGACGGTGGATATCGGGTTGCCACCCGGCAGAATGATCGAAGCTGTTATGCTAATTAGAAATTAAATTTTTCCCGTGGATACCAGATGTTTGTGTAAAATCAATAGAGCCCATTCGCAATATTTTACATCTAATAGCCGTCAACCTTTTGGCATCGTATGTTGCATGCAAATGTCTAGGTAGCATTGTATAAGCTATCTTGGATTGAAAAGTGTATGCTTATGCGTCAAACATCTGACAGAGCCATCCCGACAGCCTGACAGCGTTCCCGAAACCATTTTCATGCGTTTTCCACACGGGTGCCATTGCCGCTAACCCAACCCACAAGCTTCCAAAACGCGAAACACGCCAGCCCTGAGGCAAATACCATCTGACAGCGTCGGACTCGTTTTCCTCTCACTGGATATTCCTCCTGTACCCGTTCTCTGGTATACTCTGTTATCCCTCTCACACCCATCCTGTACGGCCGACAGGCCATCCGCGAGCAGCTGTCTCAACAGACCCCAATTTCCGAAAACGACACTGAAAAACAGTCCGCTCGGAGCTGGCGGAGGAAGGAAGGGCACAGTCGCGCTGCCGGCTGCCGAGCCACCCCCGTTCCGGAGAGACGGCTGAATCCGGATACATTACCAGCCAAGCGGCAGCCATCACGGTGCGTGGCAGCCATCAGCGCACTGCGGCCGCTACAGGACGTGGAACGGTGCACCATTGTCGGCATTGTCCGGCTGTCGGGCTGCGACGAGCCCGGATGTTGATGACTGGCGTTCTGCAGCCACCGTGACGTTATCACTGCCGTTAGTGGCATCACAGCTACGACCGAAATTAGTTAAGTGGTGAGCGGTTAATTGTTGGCCCTCTCAAAATTGTTTGGTATTCCTCGAGCTTGAGTTTTAGGCTAAATTCACCCGTTGGCATTCGCAAAGGAAGGTCGCAAGTCAACAGATTAGATTCACTATCATGATTCACCGTTTTCTTTTGCCAACGTCTATAGATTAGCCGGCATTCATGGTGCTCGGGCCGTCGACAGCCGTGTTGGATGAAGACGAGCTCACGCGCTTCTCGGTCCATTTGATAATGCTAATGACGGCTAAATGTGGGCGGCGGCGGCGGCGGCGGCGGTGGCGGTGATCCGTCTTGGGCGGCGGCTGGGCCGAGCCATCAGAAGTGGCCGGTCGGTCCGCCGGCCCGGCCACACCACGACCGAACCACCCACCATCGATCTGTGATGAGGTCGCCGCAGACACACGGAGTCGCTCCCCGAGTGCCGGCTACCCTCGGGACTCAGAACAGCACCCGGTGGGGCCAGGAGAGCCCTCACGAACGGATCAACAAGCGGTGGCCAATGGTCGCGTACGCACGCAGACACAGTCGTAACCGGCGGTTCTCTTGGGAACAGCGGGCACGGAGAGATCATTAGATTGACGGACCGTAAACCTGCACGATTGTTCGCCGTACGAAAGTGAATGCGAGTAACCCATCATCTGGGCAATAATTAGAGTTTTTAGTTATGACTAATAGCTCCGTGTATGTTCTCTATGTCCATGAATGTGTGAGATATCTGTGTCCATGAACAGGCTTGTCAACAAAAGATCTCCTTGAGATTAATAACATTGAAATAATAATTTTTAACAAGACAAAAAAGCAAACGTATCGAACAAAAATGAACGAAATTATTATCTCTCAACTAAGCTAGTTCATTCCTTAGTTCTCACATTGCCTTTTGTTTTTGTTCCGCAAAAATCCTTTCTCGTGCCCCAGCAATGGCGGACTTACCTCTCAATCCGTTTGGCAAGCCCCGGATGATATTGGACCTCTGTTGATCTCCCAGTTTCGTGGGATTAAATAAACCGACCAAGACGTGCCACAGCGGCTACGCGATATAGCGACACCACCGCCGGTGGAGACCAGCAATCGTGTTAATGATGATACTTGGGCGCCTCTTCCATTTTCCAGGCGTGGCTGATGTCTTGTTTTGCTCATCGCTGACTCGAGGCATTTGTGAGACTTGCGCTATGATGAGAAAACGTCGACATAGGACTTTCAGCTTGAACGCAAGGAATGAAGGGGATGTGGTCTAACGCCTCTCCTTATGTGCACTGAAAGTTCGGTTCCACTCACTGTGTTTTTGGCGGAAGTTAAGTAATCTCAGATGTTTTATGGCAACAATATGCTAAGCCAGACACTTTGTGCGTAGCCGCCCCGCTTCCACATAAACGATTGCGGTTTCAACCAGACAAACGCAAAACATATCTGCCTCCTCAGTTTAACCAATTGGCTGCCGACTGCATAGTCAACATTGTCGGAAAAATGTAACTTTGCCGAACAAACACACAATACGTAAGTAAGTTCGTCTATATTCAGAGTGCGGCCTGCTTCAACATCCAACAATCAATTTCAGGGAACACTCAGCACACTCACGCACATTGGAACGAAGCGAAAACGCAGCATTCATGTGGTACTCTGGTAGTTGAGACTTATTCTAGATAGTGACTATAGTCAGTATACTGCCGATCAGTATAATAACGTTGAAAGCGCTCTAACTGAGCTAACACAACATGCCATTCCTACATGTCATTCCAGTGTACAACTCATTGAGTCCCTCCGAGTGCTTCATATGCAACCGTGTCTCTACGATTGACGTTAGCTCGCTCATGCGTCACAATCCGCTAATGAGAGTTGACCCGCTAGATATCAATTCCAATCGTACTCGTGCCATGTCAACTGTCCCGTGAGTCATTTTGTGCCAAAAGACGCACACACGCTACGTGCACACCACTTTGCGAAGATCACCACACGAGCAGGCCCGCGACCAGGCACGTGCCGCCCCGTGCCGCTGGGCGTCGCGCGCGGGGAGTCGGGAGTCATTGCGAGTCATGAGTCAACATGTGGCCGATGGCTCTCCTGCGGGACATTAGCGCCGACAGCGGAGCAGTCATCAATAACGAGCCGGACGGCCATCAATAACGGAACTGCTCCGGCGGCCCAGGAGCAGCTTGAGCGAGTGACAACCCCTGCCGGCGGGGCACGGTTCGGCAAGAGTAGCCGCAAGCGAGCGAGAGAGACGGACGAGCTGGGAGGGAACGACACGAGCGGGAAAGAGAGGAGAGAGGATGGCGAAAGAACAGCGGGGGCGGCAAAGGGGTGACACTGGCAGTGAGGACACACTTGATGTGCTTGCCAAATTAATCGGCTCAAATTACGACACGCATCTGCAGCCAGCGGCTGCCGGAGCAGGCATTGCAGGTGCACACATTGTGGTGACTCTCTCCTCACCATCCTCTCGGGTGTGATTTAGAGAGCTGTGACACATGAAGGTAATATACACACATGCATTATGCAAAGTGATCTCGATCGGCTCTCATTTTAACTTCCTCACACCGAACTTTCTCGCCACTTAACTTTCCCACCGGCCACCACACGAGTTCACCACGACTTGGAGATCGAGCTTTTCTCGCTAGCGTAAAGTTAGCCGTCTTTTCTGCATTCGGATATCGTCACTCCCAGTCCAATTCCAGCCAACTTGCGCGTTCAGAGCTCCAGCTTTGCGTGATTTCCACTCTGCTAATCCTCACAAAGGAACAAACTACGTCGACCTCGATGGCGTTTGTTGTGTAGTTCTCTACATGGCGTGACGGCGGCTTAACCAAGGGTCGGGAGGTCACCTCCCGACCCTTGGTTTCTACCAATTGAACACTACTTCGGGTGTTTTTTTTTTCGACGAGGGCTGACCACATGTGAATGAAGTTTTTCAGTACTAGTCGCTAATTGAGTTCAGAGATAGGGCGAGCTGATAGGGTCTGCTTAGGGCCGAAAACTGGGCGGTATTTACCCTTTGTTTTAATGACGGACCCTCTCTAAGAGTTGAATTTCGACCTTCTCAGTTTTATGCCTACTGCTCGGTGTAGTTATGATCAAAAATGGTTTAAGCATGCAAGAAAATAATTTTATGGATGTACCTTGCACGTGTTAAAATTGGAAGTGATTCGGACTCTTACTTCTCGAGATATTTAAGTTTTAAATCATGACCTTACTTTTGGGACACCCTGTATGTGACCGACCTGGACAGACAATCTAAATACCTGCGTTCTTGATGACATGTACGTTAGTGTATTTGAATGTGGCTGTGAACATCTCGAACAACCATCCCACTTTATGTTACATTCAACGTGCAGCCTGCAATGTAATTGTTAGCAATTATTATTATCATTTTTCGTTATGTTGATTAAGGCTGCGGCATTTGTGTTGTGCTCACTATGTATGATGTGATGATGCCACTGTTTTTCGCTGTTACCGATCCTTTTGGAACTGTAATAGCCCCAAGTCGATTGGGGAAAGTTCCGAAACAATGTGAATACAATGTGAATAATGCATTTTTTCGACATACATTCAGGATGGACTTGGTCTTTAGCAGTTTTATATTGCTGGTTTCTGAGTGGCATGCCTTTCTGTTTTTTTTCCTTCTTAGCAAAGAATGCAGACCGGGAATCGGCCAGGTTTCGGCCCTTGTCACGCAATATTTTTTAGTGCATTGTTGTTGTCAGTAACTACGAAAGTCTTGTTCTGTTCGCTCCTTTCCGCAAGCACCACAATCTTGCCGTTTCTGTAATAGCATTTCCGATCTCTTCTCAGGCGCCTAGCAATCCGGAATTCCCAGTGCCTACATTCCATCCCACTTTTCCACCTACCTACCGCACCAGTCGGCCTCACTGAGGCTTCTCTTACTCCAAGACCTCACCGACACCCACCACTCAGTCAGTTTGTCAGTTTGTGCCCTATTTTTTCCGGCGGGGTCACACATTGCTCTCGTATATAACGATCTGCACGACGGGCGGCGGCGGCCTCAGAGCGTCCAGCTCAGCGTCGTCCCAGCCAAGGCCGTCGCGGATGCGCGCGCTGGCCATCGTTTTCCGCAGCTCCTTGAGCTCGCGCACCAGGTCTCCGTCGACCGTGACGCCGTGTCCGTGCTCGCCGAGCTTCTTCAGGTGCTCGGCCAGAGGCCCGGAGAGGCTCTGAAACGGCGGCAGGCGGGGAGGATGTTAGTGCGGGCAGTTAATGGCTCTCTGATGAATGCTATTACCAAAGTTACCGATCCAAGGCGATTTGAGGCCGACAAAAACCAAAGAGGGTAAATGAGACTGCGTATCAAGTTGGGGTCTATTTCAGGCATCATCATGCATAAAATGCCTAAGCAAAAGTGGGAAAGTACGACTGTGTACAACTACCGAGACATTACAAAGACGGTCATAAAAATAAAGTCAATGCTCAACGCCATTTGAGCACTGCCAATATCTCATCTCTAGACGTTGAAACTCGAAACACAAGTCTTGTCCGATCACAACAGCTACATCAATTGAGCATCAAACAATTTACCGCAGTGAACATCACTATGTCTGCATACGGTGTCCGTCGGGGAAGCGATACCATCAGCGTCTATTTTGGGTGGCGGGCAGGGCCCAGCTGCCGCCGATGTATATCCAAGAATGGTGCCAATCATTCATCCGACAGGAAACATGGAGAGCATGCATAAGGACATCTCTCCGCTGGGGAAATGGCAATAAGCATTGGCGCACGACGGAACCGGGGGAGCCGCAGAAAAGTCGGTTCTGAGCTGCCGATAGGAATGGGAACAGGCTGGCTATTGTGGCCAGTTCGATTTCCTGCGACAATATCCGTGGGAGGACGTGCTATTACGGACGGTCGGATTGCGCGAGATAATGCCATGCTTCTGGAAACGCGTGAGGTCTGTCGCTGCGGCTGCGACACAATGGAACGGAATTCGGTTATGCAATAGAAAAGTGGGCGTCGCTCGTGTTTACATCTGCCTCTCTCTTTCTCTTTCTCTCTCTCTCTCTCTCTCTCTCTCTCTCTCTCTCTCTCTCTCTCTCTCTCTCTCTCTCTCTCTCTCCCTCCCTCTCTCTCTCTCTCTCTTTCTCTCTTTCTCTCTTTCTCTCACCTGTATTCGGGACGTTAGCATTTTCATCTGTCTCCAAGATTGTGCGTACTGGCGGCGTACAATTTCTATGATGGTTGTAGTCAACGCTAAGCCCACCAGAATGTACAGAGTACACACCAGCATGTACTCCGAGTTCTCTGTAGCAGAAAGGTGAGGTCCCGGCTAAATGCATACACGAAAATTCAGAATTTCGAGCTGGTTGCAATCGGTAGTGGAGGAGGTTTCTGTTAGGGCCTTGCCGTTTCTGTTGCATAGTGGGAGGAACATTTAGGGTGCGATTCACTCGACCTTTACACCACTTGGTGAGGATCTTGCCGACATAGAGACACGTTTCTAAAGCCCACGTTACTGAAACGATCTTTCCATAAAAAATGACATCATGTTCCACTATGTAAAATTGTAGTGGAAGATTGTCTCACATTGCCTCTTCAGGACCCATATCATCAGAAATGCACTATTATTTACAGCCCACCATGCTCACCTGGCACAAAGTCGCCAAAGCCAATGGTCGTCATGGTAACGAAGCAGAAGTAAAACGACTCGAAGAACGGCCAGTCCTCGAGCAGCAGAAACAGGCCGCCGCCGACGGCGATGTACAGCACCAGCGACCCCAGGGCCACCAGCAGGGTGAGCGCTCTCTCCTGCCGCTCTGTCAGCTGGGCGACCGACCTCGAGTCGCCGCCCGTCGCCGTCGCCGTGGCCGTCGCCTGGGCGCGCTTCGCCAGCCGGGCGTACAGCGTCGAGACCGATGTGGCGAAGAGCGCGCCGAGATCGGCGATGACCGAGAGCGTCAGAGGGATGCCGATCAGGGCGAACAGCATGCAGAACAGGCGGCCGGGCGTAGTGCGCGGCGCCATGTTACCGTAACCTGGCGGGACGCAGGGAGTGATGGGGTCAGATGGGTGAGGGAAAATGCGGGGGTGAGTTGCATAAGTATGTACCTACGAGTGACAACGCAACCCCAGTGACGCGATGATGGTGCTGTGTCAATGACACGCAACAGTCCCTTTTAAGATTACTTTGAAGGTAGTTTGAGCTTCAGGGAAGACGTTCACTTGTGTGAAAATGATACACTTTGACATAATCTCAAAGGCATCTCGACTGACGCGCAAGATGATGTCTGGCGCGAAGTGTTATGCGACCATTATAGCCATAAGGCGAATGTCGCTCAGTAAAATCACTCAGGCTAAGACACGGACGCTGCAATTTTTATTTGACAATGTCCCTTAACCCTATTAGTGGCAGGCTCTTGGCTACCCCATATTAGTGGCAGGGGGGGGGGGCTGTTTACGACCCCCCCCCTTGATATCTCGAGATCCAACCGGCCGATTTTCAAAATTCAAACGGCATTCGATCTGGCACAACGAGATCTACATTTCTAAAAAAATATAAAATGTCAATAGGGGGGGGGGGGTAGAGGGGGGTAAAAACGGGCAAATTGCAGATACATTTTATACTGTTTATCACGGCCAGGTTTCTGAACCAATCTTAACGCAACTTTTGCCGATCGATAGAGAATGAACCAGGAATTCACATGGATCCTAAAAATATGCATTTTCAAAAATCATAGGCGGATACAGATCATTGAGATTGGGGGTACACAAAAAGTATAGTAAATAAGGTTTTTGTTGGTACTGTTTCTAAAAAGGGTGGCAATGGTCTTGTTATGTTACAATTTTCTTATGAGAGAACGACTAAAATTGTATTGGTCATGCATAGGCGGTGTCAGGGCACCTATGTTGGGAGGTAAAAAATAACCCCCCTTTTTGGACGCCTGGATCCGCCTATTATAGCAAAAACGTGTCAAAAGAGGATGCACAATAACTTTGTATATGTCATCACATGATACCTTTCATTCACTGTTCGTAAAACTGGTGCAGCATCGTGATCTTCGCCCAAATGACTCGCTTCACGAATAGGACCCCCCAATTCCCAGTGCTCTGGAGCCGCCCCTGGTAAAGTTATGAACTTGAAATTTTCAGGGAATGTGCCCAATTTAGTTTTAGGAAAAGTCAGAAACTTTCAGCATCGTAGCTTCAGCGGTTTCGGAGATATTCCCGAAAAACCTGAGGGGTGGATAAAAACAACCCCCCCCCTATAAGCTTCCATGACAAAATATCGAAACGCAAAATATCGAAGCGCAAAATATCGAACGCAAATTATCGAAAGCAAAATATCGAAGTCGCAAATTATCGAATTTGCAAAATATCGAAATCGCAAAACATCGAATTGCAAAATATCGAAATCGCAAAATATCGAAATCGCAAAATATCGAATCGCAAAATATCGAATTGCAAAATATCGAAATCGCAAAATATCGAATAGCATAATATCGAAAGCAAAATATCGAAACGCAAACTATCGAAACGCAAAATATCGAAACGCAACATATCGAAAGACAAAATATCGAAAGACAAAATATCGAAAGACAAAATATTGAAAGACAAAATATCGAAAGACAAAATATCGAAAGACAAAACATTGAAAGACAAAATATAGAAAGACAAAATATCGAAAAGGCAAAATATCGAACGCAGAATATCGAACGCAAAATATCGAACGCAAAATATCGAAAAGGCAGAATATCGAACGCAGAATATCGAAAAGGCAAAATATCGAACGCAAAATATCGAACAGACAAAATATCGAACGCAGAATATCGAAAAGGCAAAATATCGAACGCAAATATCGAAAAGGCAAAATATCGAACGCAAAATATCGGAAAGACAAAATAACGAACGCAGTGTCGAAAAGGTAAAATATCGACTTGAAATGGCCCTCTGCGGACTCCTTAGAGCTCTGTCGAACTCATCGGGCCCTCTGTTATCTGTAGGCCTCAAAGAGCAATCAGCGGGTCCATGACAGACTTGGAAAACTCTGATATTTTTTGTAGAACTCAGCAGTGGCGGCGGAATGTAATTTCGGATGGGGTGCAAAGTTTTCTCAAGGGGCCCCTCTGGAAGTTTTGCCCCCCCCCCCCGATATTTTTCAGAGTGATTATTATTGCTTTATGAAAAACGAAGATTTTGGAAAACTATCCCCAAACCACACAAGTTCTGCAAAATATTTGAAATTACAGTGTACGTACCTATCTCAAATAAAGCATAACGAAGCAAATGCAGCTAGTTTTTATCATCTTATCTTGTTTTAGTCTAGCCACCACCCTCAGCATCTCAACCCACTTTTCTGGATCCGCAGTGGACCATTAAGGGCCCTACGAGACCGTTCTTAGAAGACCGTGTTTAAAAAACCCTTGGAAACCGACCCCTTAGAGGCTCCTCCAGAGACCTACATGACTCCCCAGACCGAATGAGCCCTCCGACCAGGGTCGGTCCCTCAGAAGTTGCTGAAGGGTTTCAGAAAGCAGTATACTCGTAGGCTCGAAAGGCTTTTGATGGCTCTCAGAGACTGGCATCGGACCCAAAAAAGCCTGTATGGAGACCCTCCAAAGCTGGGATGGGCACCAGGAGCCGATGTTTAGCCGAAAGAGCCAGTATGGAGGACTGAATAGAGGAAAGGAGTCTCAGTGGGGCCTTCAGGAGCAAGCGTTTGGACCCCAAAAGTATGTGTGGGGTTGTAGTATCGGATACGGCAGTGATTTAGTGACTGCGTTATCCGCGGCCTTGGAAGAGACGATTCAGTTTGTTGTGCGCCACAGTTGTGTTGTCCTCTATAGTGGTGACTGCGTGACGGGTTTTGCGGACGTGGACAGAGGGCATAAAAGGGACTGCTTGAGAAGGTGAATACAGTCTTCGGTGAAGGGACACGAGGCTCTGGTTGGGCAGGCGGTGCGGCACGAGAAGGAGATAGCGACGTCGGTCACTACATTATGGCGGGGCGGTGCGGCACGAGAAGGAGATAGCGACGTCGGTCACTACAGGGGTCTTAGAGGCAGGTAGGCCCCTGGAGCGTATATTTCATAACACAACTGACTGGGGGGGGGGCTATTTGGAGCCCCCCCTCCTATCTCCGAAGCTACTGGACCGATTTTCAAAACTCAAACGGTGTTTGATACTTGATAGCCCCGGAAGATCTGTCGAGCGAAACCGTTAATTTTGACAGAGTTCGATAGAGCTCTAAGGAGTCCGCAGAGGGCCATTTCAAGTCGATATTTTACCTTTTCGACGCTTTGGGTTCGTTATTTTGTCATTTCGATATTTTGCGTTCGATATTTTGCCTTTTCGATATTCTGCGTTCGATATTCTGCCTTTCCGATATTTTGCGTTCGATATTTTGTCTGTTCGATATTTTGCGTTCGATATTTTGTCTTTTCGGTATTCTGCGTTCGATATTTTGTCTTTTCGATATTCTGCGTTCCATATTTTGCCTTCTCGATATTTTGTCTTTCGATATTTTGTCTGTTCGATATTTTGCGTTCGATATTTTGTCTTTTCGATATTCTGCGTACGATATTTTGCCTTTTCGATATTTTGTCTTTCGATATTTTGTCTTTCGATGTTTTGTCTTTCGATATTTTGTCTTTCAATATTTTGTCTTTCGATATTTCACGTTTCGATATTTTGCTTTCGATATTATGCTATTCGATATTTTGCGAGTTCGATATTTTGCAATTCGATATTATGCAATTCGATATTTTGCGATGTCGATATTTTGCGATGTCGATATTTTGCGGTTCGATATTTTGCGATTTCGATATTTTGCGCATTCGATATTTTGCTTTCGATATTCTGCCACTTCGATAATTTGTCTTCGATATTTTGCTATTCGATATTTTGCTTTTCGATATTTTGTCCGGAACCCGCCACTAACAGGGTTAAATACTGATGATATTTAAACGATCTTAAAAAGTGCTGATTTTTCTGCTCATGCTAACGTGTCGATGAGCATGCTCATTCATACCTGCCCCAATAAAAGCATTGTATGTACAATTTTCGGACACCGGCATGCATTTATCGATATTTCATCTATGAATAAGGTATTCTGTAAACATTATTTTCATGTCCGTCTATCCGTTTCTTCCAGTTGGTACATGCTAACAAACACATGCAACACATTTGCACTTAGCTTTCATTGGACCACAAACAGATTAGTCCTTGGAGTCAGTCTGGTCATCGCTTGTCGGGTGCTGGTCATCGCCTCCTTTGCCTGCTGAGTCCAACCCCCCCCCCCCTCCATCCCCGTCGACAGTTGAGCCATGGGCGACAGACGTGGTCGCCAATAACAACAGTGATGTCGATCATGAGGACTGTTTTAGGGATTTGTCCGCGACGGCGGTAGAGTTTCGCGGCACTTCCAACTCTAAAGTATTGTGAGTTGTTAGTCGTGACACGTCTACTCGTGAACCGTGAATGGAGATCGTGACTTACGGACAACTGACGTGAGATGTGCTTGACGTGGTTTGCAACCGACAAGAGCCCAGCGCTTCCAAATATTCGCGTAGGCATACGTGTTTTCAGTAAAACTGAATTCAATAGACATAGAATTAATAGCTCTTGTATAGGTATAGTTACTTGCTAATGCTATCTCACAAGAAAGGATGTGTAACTGAAGACATTCGTATCAATCTCTAAGCAACCGTTCACAAATATCGCAAAATTGCCTCGTATATCCTTCACAGCAGCTTCAAAGTAAAGACATGCGATTTATCATCTGTTAAAGAAGCAGTGATTTATCACTGCAATTACCACAGTTTGTGCGGCCTGTGCTGTCATTCCATAGTTCCACCAGTTCCCACATGGCCACAATATGAAACAGTCGTCCTGACCCCATAACCGGCACCATCGCAAGACGTGCGGTACGAGCCCAATCGATAGCATGTATGCAAACAACGCTATATAAACACTCACCAAATCAGATAGCATGTATCGTCTGTTATTCCGGAATGGCCAGCGTGCTGGCTCTTCCCTG